AGAACTCGATGAATGACAAAGAAACCACACTTTTTCCGCCTGTGTATAAATCATTGTTTAAATAGTCCCCTTTTTGTTTGAACTTGCGCTAGTTTATTTATTTATACATATTATCTTATCATCATCCTTTTGGATTAGAGTTGACGCCATGATAATTTTTTCATATTTTTCCTTTTTTCTTTTTCTTGCTCTATATATATCCACTTGTGTCCTTTCCATATCATGCCCTGATGAAGTTTTTCTGTATAGAAATTTGAAACGTCGGCAAATTACATCGTTTTGCTAACACCGGTTGTGCTTCATTTATTATCAACTGCTACTCTCTTTCATTTCTAAGAATATTTTTTGTGCAGTCTACACTTGAAATCTCAGGCCAACTATTTCCATGTTAAATCTCTTACATCGAGATCAATGTTGATACGACCTAAATAACCATAAGTATATTCTCATTTCGGTTCATAATAGAGCATTTTTGCTAATATTACTGAAACTCGCGAATTTTCATAGAGAGTGGGTTAATATCTGTTCCATGTGCCTAATCCCTTCGAACACTTATTTGAGTATTATCTTAATGTAATGTGGTTATTAAAGAAAATTTCTTATACTTCATTGTTGGTGTTTTATATGATTCGGACAAAATGATGTTCTGAATTTATTTTATTTTTTGCAAAGAAATTTGCCAATTATTTTGTTTCAAACTAGCCCACTAATTCACATCTTGTAGGCGGATGAGATTTAGTTTAGTTATACAGACTAATTTGAGTAACATAAAGAAACAGGTCGGCGCCTATCTACAGTACACTTTTTGTCACAAGCTACGCAAAATTTCAGTCAAATTTTTTTAATTCCGCAGCTTCGAATATCTACAAAAAGTAATTTCGGGTCGAGGGTTGTCTAAATTTTAAACCCATCAGTAAATCACCAACTGATTTATAATTTCCTTTATAAATTATTTGTTTAGATACCTTTCAAAAAGCCTTGTACCTGAACCATTACCTGCAAATACAGATCCTTGACTAAGAAAGAAATTGCAAAGTTTATTTATCATTTTGTTTTCATTTGAAAATAGGACGAAAAATTTAAAAGAAACAGTTGTATGATTTTTTGTTATGAATAATAAAGCAATTAGCGAATGCTGAGTTTCATATAGCGTAGTTGGTAACTTGAACAGAGCTGTGTACGAGACGCTATTAAAGGTCACCAATGTTTGCCTTATTGACCATTTCTCCCATTCTTCGAAATTATATCTTTATACGTGATTTACAATATTTGACTGATAATAATTAGCAAAACGTATTGGTACCCCGGGACAAAAGACTAGGCGAGAAACATGGGAATTTAAAATTGTGAAAACATTTAGGATGCTCGTACAGTCTTACCGATACAGAGACATAGTTTAATCAACAGTTGCCTCTAATAGATATCCAATGTCCAATAGTTCATTTTGAAAATATCAAAGTTTAATCAACGAACTGTGATTTCGGAATCGGCTGATATAAATATTCAATGGAACATTACGTGTCAATGCAAGATGATTCGGAGCATAAGTTTATGGTCTTTAGCAGGATTTATTTTAAAATTGAATGGTATTACATCCGCAACGTACTTGTACGTGTTAAAATAGTGTTCCTGCGGTTTTACACTAAAATTATCTCACTATCTACATTGCCAGTAATGTAACAACCAGAGAAGTACAAACACACGTAAGGCCATAAAACTCAAATTAAAACTTTCTTTGGAAGCGTTTCTTAATAACATAAACATGATAAATAATGTAATGGAATTTGTCTTTTTCAACAAAAACAATTAATAAGATTTAATTAATTATTATTATTTAGGTATTTGTATTTCGATTTATCTCTGAATAATGTATAGTGTTGTGGTATAAAATCATAACTTGAATTGGATAGTGGCGCAAAAGACCATTTGTGTTATGAGCGTCATAAAATATTTTACCAACAACGACAATACTCAAATTATACTGTTTTTAGACCCAAGTAAAGTTTGTGGCCACTGGCCTGATGTCGAACATTTTGGGTGGACAGTTAATTATTACTTTATAGTTTTGCTAATGATTTCCCGTCTTGGTTTAAAATGAAGTATTATAATTCTTAGTTGATATATTCATAATTTTCTATTTAAATATGCGATTCATGGATATGAGCCGGAAGTTTAATATGCTTATCCGTTATCTTCAACGCTCTCTTCCTATATTTCCCTTTAGCATGTCGCATAACATAGCAAAAGCTGTTTCACATGTTAGACGTGCTACAAACCGAAAACCGAAATCCTTGTTGAATAATTATGACAAATACGACGATTGAAGGCTGAGGCACAAAAAAAGCCAAGACTGCGACTGTATATTTTTAAATAAAAGAGCGATGCTCAAATATGTGGACTAGAAGATCAAATGAATTATTTTTCAATTCACTGTATCAATTCACGTCAGTTCCGGTAAGACTTTAACTGAGCACCTAGTTTATAGAAAAGTTCAGTGGACCACCATTATGGAATGTCACGTGGGGGCGCAATATATGCCAAACCAGAAACGTTTGGGGTGAAATATGAGGCCTCAAAAGACTCGAACTTTGAAAAAAAGCAATAGCTTCCTAGCAATTTTGTCATACCTGCGTTGAGCACCCCAAAACCTGCGAAAATTTCAAAAATAATTCCTAGGTCCACTTTCTGTCCAAAAATTAGCTTCCCTGCGTTCTTAAAATCTGGCATGACGATGATTTGTAAACGATTGGTTATTTTCGATGTCATATATTTTTCGTTGTGAATTATACACAACGTGACAAAATGTTGCTCTCAACATTAAAAATCCTCAAAGACACTTCCAAGCAGTGAACCTTGATATTTTTGTGTTTGTATAATAAAAGCTATTAAACATGAATTTTTTATACACATGCATCACATATATATATATATATATGGTTTATGGAAACATAAATATTGATATTATCGTAAACAGAAAACGGAATATAACACGTGCAAGTTTAAAAATTTTGTAAAATACTGAAAGAAATTATTGAAGCAATCATAAATTCGCACTGTCAAGCAGTAGGATACATAATAAATTATACTGTGCCGCTTATCCAACTAGACCACGAAGAAAAGTTATGTGACCATTCAATTCTTCAACCACTCTTGCGACATCATGCGGATTATTTTTGCGAAACACTTCAACAGATTCTGTATCAGCGTTGTATCGAGCATCGAAACACTTGATGATATTGTCGTTGGTAAACTTCCTGCAACAAAATATAAAATAATCTAGAACTTCAAATAATTGAAACTATCGGAATAATTGAAGAAATTCGAAAGTCAAACTTTCGCCTTTCCAAGACGCACAATGTGTATGGTCAAATTCAAAAGTAGCGACGAAAGGTATTATTGTGAAATTATTCTCTTAAAATGCTTAGATGGAAATTAGTATTTGCTTTTTACAGATGTAGGAGAAGCGACATTTTGAAAAAAAATTGAAATTATTTTAGATGATTGTTGCTCTGTGACTGTTGTTGAGACAAAACTATGTTTATCTTACCGAACTTTTGTTAAAACATCTTGGAACGACTTTGCGATGAAATAGAGTGGTTGGTAATCTTCATCTTGATAGGACTGGGTTGATGCCTTTTCTGCATCAAATTCGCAATGTTCAGGGTTTTTAGACAAAGCATGCTGGTAAAAAACAAGACTGTTACAAACAACGCTAAACCTAATACGCTAAACCTAATAGAATTCAGTTGCATAATAATCATGTAAATAAAGCACGCATACCTACCAACGAGCCCAGAAAATGATAAAGATGTAAGGTATGTGTATCTGAGAAATAACTCTCATTTAACAAGTTCAATTTTATTCCGAGTGACTATACATATATGTTACATGAAATTCTTTGGACTGAAGAAACTATATTTGCATTCGGACCGCAGTAAGGAATGGTTAAAGTTATGCTTGCAGTGGAAAAATAGCATATAGTCAACATACATATGTAATATTATTTAGACTTCTTTGGTAGAGCAATAAGTCCACCATATTTACGATTACTATATTATTTTATATAATTGAATTAAAAAGGCATCAATACCTCCAGTTCCCCGTATGCTGATAAAATTCCGGCTCCATATACCTTCAATTGACCCTGCTGCAAGCATAATCCAAATTCAACCGTGAACCAATAGAGCTATAGGAAATATTATGAATCTGGTTTTAATAAGCATTTTAAGTTTTGGAATGAAAGGTATTTAGATAATGGTTGTACAAGTGTTACTGTAATAGGAAAATCTGATATATATATATATACTTCATTGATCGACCGTAATTTATAGTTTAATAGCGGTAACGAGGGTATAAATAAAATATAGTAATCGAAAATATAAGAAAACCCTATTTGATACAGAAAATTTTTTAGTTCGCCATACCTACGTAGCAAGTCAATGCTACCACATTTAGCGGATATTCCATTCGCTTAGTTGGTTGAATTCAGAGAGATCTATATTCTATACCTTTCCGGTATATTATCAATAGAGTTCAAAGGTTTGGGACCAATGTTACAAGATCATACTCACAGTCGCCAATTTTTCAATATCCTTATCGGTAGCACCAAGCGAAACAATCCCTAATTCTTGAGAAAATCGGGCAAAATCTGGGTCACACAGCATAGGCACATGTCCAATCAATTCGTGGCAACAGTCCCTGCAAAAGTAATAGCCGCTTTTAAAGAAAATATGTGTTCAACTTATTAAACTTCAGCTATTATTTGTTGTGCGATATATGAATGCAAAATTTAGAATGAAAAGAGAACTAAATCAATGTTGCTTCCCATTTAAAATAAATCATGATAAAGTTCTTTTGTCGTGGTTCCACCAGTTGGCCATTCTATTTTATGAGTTAATGTATATGATGAAGTCTGGTATCAGTTTCTGTGTTTTTGTTGTTTCGTTTAGTTGTCATAGACACTTCTGTAATCTATCATTAAAAAGATAGGTATATTTAAATCTATTCGGACTAATCGCGGGTCGTAAAGAATGAAGCTTGGTAACATAATGGCATAATCACTATATGCAAAGAATCACTCCTAAAACTGATATTCACCTTGAAACATTCATTCAACTAGGACGTCCAAATTTTGGCAACAGTTTGAAAATAAATTGGATTTCAAGAGTTTAATGTAGCTTACAATTCAGTAAGCATGCGGGTTATGAAATGTACTCACGGTTCTGGTGTATGCATTGGGCTCAAATGATGACGTACATACTGTGTGCATTGAAAAACTTTCACGGCAAGACTAGCAAGAAAATCACGTGCGCTAACCAAACCTCCCACTGGACGGAGACGAAATCCACTGCAGTCTAAACGAGGGAACAATAAAATGTAAAGTTAAATGAAATCGTGAGCTGCTTACCTAATCTTCCGACATTTGGCGTTCTTTTGCTGGGCCGAGGCATTCGACTAACTATTGCAAAATTGATGATAAACTTGCGAAAAGCAAAGTGTGTGAGAAGAAAACTGTAGTTGAGCCGACGAGAAAAAATATTGGCCAACGGTTGATTTTGTCTCGAAAATATGGCTTTAACACTGGAAATGGACGACTGAAACTAAAGCGCCTAAACCACTGTTGTGATATCGGTGTTATAACCGACAGCCGAGAAGTGTAATGTTAAAAAATTTCCTAGGCCCCTTATCCGATGCGAATATTTGATATATTCAGGGATATTCAGGGGAAAAATATGTCATTCAACTTTGAATATTCAGTTAAATTTGACTAACTTCCATATACCTCCAAATGGCACGTTAAAAAATACTATTGTATTAAACAATTTTATTTATTAAACAATATTATACCGAGTTGCATTAGAAATTGCTTTTTTACAGATAGGTATATAATATATACTCGTTTCGTTTGTATATGGGCCGTATATATTGAAAACCCAAAAGTGTTAAAATGGTGTGCAATACAATAAACAAGCCAAAGTATCGCTCGGACGTGGGTGGGTGGTTCAAATATGAAGCACACTCTGGTAGTTTCATATACAATTTGATTGGCATTTTAAAACCAGTAAATGCAGATATGCGTAAAAAGAAGCCCTATGTTATTCTTTTGGTTTGGCGTAGTAAACTGTTGTTGTGGTGTACTTAACATGCCTTGTAAATATCTCGAAACATCTTCCAGCTGTGGAATATTGTCTTCGCTATATAGGCCAATCTTTTCCAAGTGGCGAATGGATGTGTTGAATTGCGAGCAAGCTCCTTGTGCATGTAGACTTCTCAATTTTGAATAAACAGTTTTCCATGTTTGATTTTCATCGGATGTATATGGCACTCTTGGGATGACGTCACCGCTTGACAATAGATAAACAAAATGAATACAAAACACAGATAAAGATGATTGATCAATTTGATAACTGATTCAATTTGTGAATGTTAACGTAAACTTAGCAAATATGTCAATAAATTACTTACTGCTTATACTTTCGTGCGATATCTACAATTTGTCTTCTTCGTTCTCGGTATTCCTGATCTGAATATCCAGGGTGTTCTGTGTTTATCTGATTATCTTCGCAAACTTCTCTTAAATGTCGACAATAATCCAGGTCAGCAGCCTTTCGTGGAAACCATGGAACATCTGAAAATGATATATACATATAACACACTGCTTAATAAAGAAAATCGTCTAATTTGAACTTCAAAAATTCATATAAATAGGTATATATATCTTACCATGAAGAGTTTCGCGTTCGGGTCCAAGTTGCGATAAGCGTTTCACAACAAGAGAAGAATTCTTTTCCAAACTAATTTCAGCGTTTTCCAGATCTGTGTATGAACATTGACACTGCACATATACTTCATTTAGTCGGATATCGTCATCTGTATATTCAAATTAAAATATATTATAAGAAATTATTATTATTTAGCTATTATATAAGCTAACTTGCAAAATTTTCTTTCAAGATATGTTTGTCTTGATCACTTTTTAGAGAATCGCAAGTCGGGGTAAAAATCGTACATATGCAGCAATGGAAATCATATAAAATCTTCTGTTTCTCATTTGATTAATCTTAGCAATGACAATTTGGCTAGCTTAGATTTAGTAGAAGTAAATTTATAATACCATAAATCACTTAAACAAGCGATATCAAATTCTGAACTTCGCTTGGGACAATGTAGTGATTCGATATTACCGTTTTGTTGCAATTAGACTTGCTCATAAAAGAAAGGATTAGAGAATAATATTACCACTGTCCGAGCTGTTTTCTTCTGGGCGCTTTATTTCGACGAATTGAATTGTCACGTTGCATTCCTGTGCAAAGATATATATTTAAAATATACATAAGTTTAATTACGCTCAATGCGCCAGTTAACTAATAAACAATATAGCCAAGGACCTTTCACCTCCGGGTATTGATACAAGAGCTCAATTGAAATTTGAGAGTGTTTATAAACTTAAAAAATATGGAAAACACTCAGACAATAAACAACAACTATGAAAATCAAATTAGGTGAAAACAAATTGACTAGTTGACACAAGTACGGGCACATCGATTGAAAAAAGTTCCTAAATGTGTTAGTTTCTGTAAAGAGTTCACTTTCCGAGCCGACAAGGTCTTGTAATTTTTACGAAATTTTATTTATCCTCCAATATCCTCTTATCTACTTTATCTACTTTCAATTGCAGTTGATTCACGTTACACGGCCAAAACGACAGCCAGCCAAACGTTTTTAAAAATGTTAAAATGAAGATTAATAAAATGTTAATCTATATAATACAACCTCCAGATATTTCAGTATGGAAGCCACAGAAAATCCATGCTTTCCGGTTAATGTTGATTTGATCAAAATCTCATGTCTGTTCTGCCCTCCACTTTTCGAGGAATTACATTTTGTATTTTCTAGATAGAAATTAAAAAATGAATAAATACAAACCTGAAGCCAGGCAGAGAGGGTTTACTATATTTATTAGAAAATGTTTCATCTCGTGTTATGAGGGAGGCCCAATAAATAGTATGTTAACAGTTATATATAAAATTGAATAATCAATCGATAAAAGCTGCTAACTGCTAATCCTATATATAAATACCTATGCTTGTGAATTTAGACAGTTACAATTTTATTCGAAACAGATCCCGACGCTTCTCTAATTTGATTATCCGGTAATCATAGTAATGCAATTATTTAATCGCTCTTTCTTACCTAAATTTTGAAGAGTAGCAAATTTAGCATCCGCTATAATACTATTTCTTCTCATCTTGCATCAGATGTATAAATGTAATCTAGCAATAAACTCACAACAAATATTTAAAAACTTCGGAGTAATGAATCTCTAAATACTAAAAGGCATCCATGATGATAATTTTACACATTAAAGCTTGACGATTTATGACGTAATATAAACGTTAAAAACAGTTCTGTGAACCCACCTAAGTATCTATAATTTATGTGTTATAGAGCTCTCTTTACATTCTTGGCAATAGAAATAACAGCACGTTGCCCTGATCGATCATCGAGATTACTAACTTTGACATTTGCACCTCCTGTTATATATAGGGAAATCACCATGAGACGCAAGCACACGTGTTCTGTTCATGACTATGACGAAATTATGAGAAAGCATTATTTAAACTTTGAAACATCACTTGCATGCTTTGTAAATACATTTTCAAACTACCTCGAAAATTATTTCGTGAACCTCGTAAAATTAGATACGCTAAAAATATGTAGCAGAATCGCCAAAGTTGGGATTTCTCAAACACATCTTTTCCACATCTTTCTTTGAATATCCTCAAAGAATAAAAGCCTTTGTGCCGAGGTATATTCAGATTCCTCGGGCAGTGTCCACGAGTTCTTTAGGATAAGCTTTGCTGGTTCTTATATAGTCTTAACTCAATATGTAACAACCGAATAAGCGATGATTAGAATATTATGGAGCTGACGTCATATTTCTTGACAAGGACATTTGCTATAGACATCTGTGACGTGAGAATCAAATTATGAGATGCCCGAAACAGACACAAAATCAATATTTTATATTCACAACAATCCTAAAATGTTCATGTTCAAAAATCGTTTCCAACATATATGCGTGTAGTGATTTGATATTGATTTCTTGACGATAATTAAGTGGTTTCATGACAGTATGGTCGGCGATATTTCATGCATAAGTATCAAATAATAAATATAATCAAATAACAATCTATATATTATGCGTGTACTCCAGGACAAAGGGAGATATCTAAAATTGTCTCTAGAATGTATGTTTTAAACATTCGGGCTACTCATCCATCGGTGGCTCTTCATAGTCATGTAGGCTACGTAGTGAAGATGGGAAAACGCCTCATAAAAAAGCTAAATCTCGATGGACTACTCTTTTTCATTATAACTTCTACTTTGTTTGTCGTAACTCATTTATTTTATGGTTTGAATCTAAACTATATTCTGCAGAAATAAAAAGTAAGAATTGTCAAAAAGAGTATTAAAAATGTTCTAGGCCTGTTCAAACGATCGCTGAACATATTCACATTTGGTTTTAAGTAATCCACCGACCTGACGCTTTGGAATGCGTCTGAAGTTGTATGTTGTTATAAATGGAGTTACTCAACACGAAATATCCTTCTTCCTTCATCTCTGGTAGATCCATACGCGTATAATGCAAGAAAGTTGTAGCTGGCTATTCTATGTGGTTCAAGTGCTGCGCACCTACACAACTTTATCTCTTTGACCTTTTCATCTTAATGAGACACGCATACTTCGTCTATGACACGAAAAGTTTTTGCATACTCATAAATAATGGTCATCACATTGATGATTGATTAGAAATGATTTATCAATTTGATAATTCAATTCTGTAGAAGAAACCGCAATCTTATCCCAGTGTGTGTATGTGTGAGAACATATATACATAAAATATTATATTTCGATAGATTTTTATACAAAATTCCTTATGTTGTGCATGCCAAATGACATTGTAGCGAATGTGGAATGTAATTATGGATTTTATTGTTATTTAACTCCTTTGTCTTAACACTTTCGATGCCAAGATCAGTTTTTTCAAGTTTACCGTTCCGTGCCGAGGTGAAAACGAGAGAGTTCTCTCCTATTCATTCTCTCTCGTATTTAGTTTTTGATTCATCGGGAAAGGGGCGAACCAAGCGGTGTCATCAGTTATCGTTCATTCCGACACTTCAGTCGTAGGTGAAAGAACTCACCTACACACGCGTATCTTGTCGGAATTGCTCTCTCATGCTATTATAACATAAGTTGATGATAACTTGTCTTGATCTCTCATTACGATAAGGATTCAATTCGAACATTTTATTCAGCAATCAGAATCATTTTATTATACGAAAATATCAAATTTGAACAAAGAAAACAAAATCGTTTACTAGCATAAAAGAATATCCTCCATTCGCTATATATTCCAATAACATTAATAATGGCCAATTATTGTCACTCACAAGGATAACATATTGCAAAATAAACAAAGTAGTCACATTGCATATTCATACAACTGTAACACATATGTATCTCTATGACCTCGTCACCATTACAATACGTCGAAAGTATTGAAATCGGCCTCTTATCTTGCCATAGTAGTGCGAGTAATTGTCCTTTTCGTAGTGAGATGATTTCCCCTTTCTTTAGTTTTGTTTTTATTTCTGCTGGAAGTCCCTTCCGGTTTGCCATGACTGTTCCCGTTATCGATGTTTTCCTTCGCTGCAATTCCTCGGCTAATGCGACAGAGTTATGAAGTCTAAATTAAAAATGAATATTATTAAAAATTGGTTGTGATAAAACAGTTTATGCAATTGATTGATATATCCGACAATGATTCGTTATCTAAAATAGAACGCAGTATGGCGCCGAGACGTAAATTATCTAATTTGTCTTATCAATACCGAATAATCAACATACCTATCAACAAATACGTGATATCCTCTATCCAGATGACTTCCCATTAGTTGCAAAACTAAATTCGAAGTTTTTGTGACGCCGGGTGGAAGTTGTTCCAAGTTTGGATTACCATAATCTATTTTCACATTGAAAATGTATCCAGTTGTTGAATCACTCGCACTACTATGGCAAGATAAGAGGCCGATTTCAATACTTTCGACGTATTGTAATGGTGACGAGGTCATAGAGATACATATGTGTTACAGTTGTATGAATATGCAATGTGACTACTTTGTTTATTTTGCAATATGTTATCCTTGTGAGTGACAATAATTGGCCATTATTAATGTTATTGGAATATATAGCGAATGAAGGATATATTTTTATGCTAGTAAACGATTTTGTTTTCTTTGTTCGAATTTGATATTTTCGTATAATAAAATGATTCTGATTGCTGAATAAAATGTTCGAATTGAATCTTTATCGCAATGAGAGATCAAGACAAGTTATCTCCAACTTATGTTATAATAGCATGAGAGAGCAATTCCGACAAGATGCGCATGTGTAGGTGAGTTCTTTCACCTACGACTGATGTGTTGGATAATACCGAAACATGCGTAATACATTTCAGGTGCGTTTGTATCTTAGTATTGCTCCTGAGTTTTCGTCGGGCGCTTCCAGATTTGGTGGGTTCAGTCAGTAAACGATGAAATTCGAAGTCTTTACTTGCCTCGGCAAACATTTCATTCAATCTGGTATTTATAGCGAGCAAATACTTATTTGTGTGGATATTTGAACTAATATTGGCGTGCAAATGAAGTATTTCCAAATGCAATTTCAATATTCATTATACGCATCCGGTGCCTCTAAGTTGACATAATAAAAAGGTTTAAAGCTTCATCGAAATTCGTCAGTTGATCTGTCAAGAACACGATTTTCCGAAATTGTCATCTCACGCAATTTGCTACGCAAGTCGTCTCGACTGCACGTAGTCCCGTCTTCGTGGCGCCAGACACGTGATCGCTATTGCGTAGCTACGTAATCAGTACGCCATGGCTGCTTATTGAACTTGTTCATCCGACACAAAGTCGTAGGATTGCATATTTTGCTATAATTATGGTTATACAATAGCTACGGAAGTAATTCAATATGAGCTGAAAGCATACGAGGGGCACTGTGTTATTGGTAATATATTTCCCACTAAATTACTATATCTCGGATCATATCTCACTGACAAGTAGAAAAATATATGTTCCGAATAATATCAATTTCTCACTTTATTATTTCAAAATGTAACATTTCACCTCTCAGGACGATAAAATTTGCTTTCGTTGCAGATGTCCGTCAATCCGTTACCCAAAAATGATAAAAAATTAAAAAAACGTTCAAAAATACCAACATTTTGAATCATTTCATCGTCCTGCCAATAAGACGACGATCATGCATATAAAAATATTCGAATTATTTCCCGGTTTAGTAATGTTTTTCTACATCTTCGTAACATGATTGATAATATTATCATCTCTCCTCACACCTTCCAATCATTTCACCGTAAAAAGTTGAAACCGTGTGTTGGCGTCAGTCGGTCTCGTACAAATTTTTGATGATAATTTGCGGCTAATATGTACCTCGGCCATGCTAAATATGTTGATAATTTATTTCATGGCAGACCCTCCTTCCATCTTGGTATTTCTTGAATGACGCGATTGGCTGACGACGTCATTCTTTCCCCCCAACTTGACAACAAGAGAGAGAGAGAGAAGAAAAAAGACGGCAAATACCTGAACTCGACCTTCTTCTATCTATTAAACTTTTTCCTTTTCGAATGACGTATATATACGTCATTTTGCATTGATGGCACGGAACGGTTGGCGCCAAATGACGTATATATACGTCCTTGGCATCGAAAGTGTTAATAGTATGTGAAACCAATGAATAGGTCAGTGCCCTATTTCCCTGTGATTATGATTTATCGCGACAAGTCTTAGCAATGCCTCTCTGTATCGACCAATCTGTGACATGTTTCCGGTCTCAATTCGAAATTTAAGAATATAGTGTTTTTCATGTTTTTGCATTATTACTAATTTGAATTTCAACCCTATTGGTATTAAGTGTATATTTTAATTTATATATCTGTTTTGGATTGAATTCGATCGTGCACCTTTACAATATACGAACAATCCATCGTGTGCTTATTGACCTCCGAGGAGTTTAGACTGGGGTTTATTCCGCTGAAGTACGTATAATATTACGGGGCTAAGGACACGCAGATCGGGACATTCTATCTCATAACAGTGTCTGGTGGTGTGTGCTTATATATCAGGGATGATCGAACCCAGCAGTGATCGGCGACCACCGGGCCGCGGAAAGATTACTACCGTTCGGCAGAGAGGTGACACAAAAACGGACAAGGCCCTAATAAAACCTCTACAATTCAACCACATACCATACGACTAAAAAAGACCACCCAACAGCAAACCAGACAAACACAACGCATTTGAGCAGCGTGTCTGACTTCACAATCGATGCCCATGTCATTATGTCGCAATAATGCTGGGTCAATCGTTTCCTCTACGCCCAGTGGTGGGATTCAGCCGGTTCGCACCGGTTCTATAGAACAGTCTCACGGAATTTTATGAGATCAGCGAACTGGTTAGCATTACTGGTTACTGTCAGTATTCTGTTTGTAACAAACCGGCTGAAAAATGTGGCTTTTGTGAAGGAACCGGCTGACAAAAAATTTGAAAATTTGAAATTTGAAAATTAGATATAGCAAAACAAACATAAATTAAGTCAAACATCAATCAATACCCAGACTATAGACACAAGGTTTGCAGGCATTGTTACCTTTCACAACATCGTATTTATTTGAGGCCGGGTTTTCAATACTGACAACTACAAAAACGAAATA